AAGGAGTCTTCACATCAAGTACCAATATACACAGGGTAGATAGGGTCGGGCAACTTAGACACTGGCTACCTAAAATGAGGGGCGATAAAGGCACAAAGTGTCTGGTTTACAAGGTTTCAAGAGGAAGTTTAGTTTAAGAGTGGCGGGGGCGGGGGGGAAGGTAGAGTCCCCAAAGAATAGTTTTCATCTTGTCTACATGGGTCTGGTAAAAAGAGATGGGGATAAGATTCTTATGATTCAATAGTGAGTATTTGTTATCATGACTAATTGTGACTGTCACAATTGTAAAGGTAGAAGTTTTATAACAAAATTGTGGAGTAGTTACTCTTACAGTTTAGAAACAGAGGACCCTAAAACCATTAAGGGAGATGAGCACAAGCAAAATGAGGGACCTTATCCAGAGAAGCAGAGACACCAGAGGGAGGCAGAGATGGGGACATGGAGAGAGGGAGCATCCGAGGACTCTTGATTCATGGAAAGAGAGAGTGAGAGCTGGCGGCCAGGAAACAGACTTGCAGAATGTGCCCTTGGTGGTTTAAATTATTAGAAATGCCTGAGTGGTTTTTTTGTTTGTTTTTTTATTAAAAAGAGCTAAAATGAATAGAGAGAAATACTGTTAACTGATGGTACATGGAGGGGATTATAATCATTGTAATGACACAAAGTATATTATTTGTTGAATGTAAAACTGATGATCTGCCCTGTGAACTTTCACTCAATGCACAATAAAAACTTATAAAAAACAAATTATACCTGGAGACAAAGTCGGCTTTGAACCATAAGGTCGGCGGTTCAAGGTCACCAGTCGCTCCTCGGAAATCCTATACAGGGTGGCTATGGAGCGGAACAACCTTAAAAAAGCAAAACAAATATTCTTATCAAAATAATGAGAAAATAAAATCCTATGATGTGATAAAAGGTTACATATGCTTAAGAAAAATAGGCTACAAAAATCTGACTTAAACTACCCGCTGTTCCACGAGAGAAAGATGAGGCTTTCTGCTCCTGTAAAGATTTACAGCCTTGGAGACCCTGTACAGGGTCGCTATGAGTCGGAACTGACTCCACGGCACATACCAACAACAACAACATATATATATGGATATGTGATATTAATAAATAATTTGGAGAATTCCAAGGTGTAAGCAGTATTCAATTCTGATGGGATTACTGGTACTTTTCTTTTTCTAGTTAATAACTACGTTTTCTGATTTTCATAGAATGATTAATTTTTGATTTTATAATAAGGAAAATCTGAAAGTTTAAAAATAATCGAAATATCTTCAGCCGCTACAATCTTTGGTATTGTGGTTCCCATGGTATTACAACTAAAGGAGGAAAAACAAATATTTTTTAAAATAGAGCTTCTGATCAAGAAGAGCATAAGGAACTTTGGGATCTCAGTTCCAGTTCAAGGTCCAGTAAGGTCCCCATTTAAGGCCTTACCCTGGGTGTTTTTGTGTTTTGCATGTTCAGTTCATTAGGGCAAAGTACAGGTTGTACTATTTCTGCTGTTGTTTTTACGAAGCCAGCAATGTTTATTCCATCGTTTATATTTGGAAATGTCTGAGTGGCACATGTCTCTCCTTTGACATACATTGGGAATTTGCCCCAGGAGACTCTAGTAACTCAGAATATGTTTAAAAATATCATGAGTCTTAAAAGCTCATGTTTCTTTTGTCTTTTGTATAAAGAGCTCACTGTATTCCCTTTCATCAGACAGGTGGACTGGGTTCTTAATGAAGCCAATGGTACTTTCTTTGTTTTGCTTTGCATTTTCATGTTGAGCCAACTATACCTATTCTTTTTACCAAAGCTCCCATATGCTACAGAAAATATCTGTGAACTGTGTTTCCTGCTTAAAGATACAAATCTTCCATGTGCCTGAGAGGCTGTGGTAAGGCATAAGACAGAGAAAAATGGTTACCCCTGAGTTCCCAGAAGGAGATTCACGTTCACCCCACTGAATCACATTGACAAACCTGACCTGATTCCCAGGGGTTCTTAAGGGAATTGTTGTTGTTGTTGTTGTTAGGTGCCATTGAGTCAGTACCGACTCATAGCAACCCTATGCATAACAGAACAAAACACTGCCCGATCCTGGGCCAACCTCACTACTGTTACCACACTTGAGTCCATCGATACTGCCACTTGGCCAATCCATCTCACTGGAGGTCTTCCTCTTTTTCTCTGACCCTCCACCTTACCAAACATGATATCCTTCTCCAGCGACTGGTCCCTCCTGACAATATGTCCAAAGTATAAGAGATGAAGTTTGGCCATCCTGGCCTCCAAGGAGCACTCTGGCTGCACTTCTTCCAACACAGATCTACTGGTTCTTTTGGCAGCCCATGGCACTTTCTATAATCTCCTCCAACACCATAACTAAAATGCATCAATTCTTCTAAAGTCTTCCTTATTCACTGTCCAGCTTTCACATGCATATGAGGTTATTGACAATACCATGGCTTGGGTCAGGTACACCTTAGTCCTTAAGCTGACATCTTTGTTTTTCAACACTTTAAAAAGGTCTTGTGCAGCAGATTTGCCTAATGCAATACGTCATTTGATTTCTTGACTGCTGCTTCCATGAGTGTTGATAGTTGATCCAAGAAGAATGAAGTCCTTGACAACTTCAGTCTTTCCTCTGTTGATGTTGATAAGAATGTTGTTTATTGGTCCAGTTGTGAGGATTTTTTTCTTTACATTGAGATACAATCCATACTGAAGGCTGTGCTTTTTGATCATCAGTAAATATTTTAAGTCCTCTTCACTTTCAGCAAGCAAGGTTGTATCGTCTGCATAGAACAGGTTGTTAATGAGTCTTCCTCCAATCCTGATACCTCGTTTTTCTTCATATAACCCAGTTTCTCGGATTATTTGCTCAGCATACATGTTGAATAAGTATGGTGAAAGAATACAACCTTGTTGCACACCTATCTTAATTTAAAACCATTCACTGTTCCCATGTTTTGTTCAAACAGCTGCCTCTTGGTCCAGGTACAGATTCCTCATGAGCACGATTAAGTGTTTTGGAATACTTATACTTTGCAATGTTGTCCATAGCTTGTCACGATGCAGAAAATCAAAAGCCTTTGTGTAATCAATAAAGCACAGGTAAACATCTTTCTGGTATTGACATCAGACATTAGCAATGATATCCCTCATTCCACATCCTCTTATGAATACAGGTTGAACCTCTGGAAGTTTTCTGTGAATGTATGCTTGCAGCTGTTTCTGTATTACGTTGAGTAAAACTTTACTCGCAAGGGATATCAAAGATATCGTCTGATGAGTTCCGTATACCATTGGGTCACCTCTCTTGGGAATGAGCACAAATACAGATCTCTTCCAATTATTTGGCCAGATAGTTGTCTTCCTTGAGGGAACAGACATGGACCATTCTTAATGAAGGTACTAGAAAAACCTAGAACCTGTTTCAGTACAATCTCTTTTAGAGAAACCAATGATAGGATGTTTTCTTTTTTCTGGATACTTATTGTGGCTACTGAAAATATTACCCCTTCTTTTGCTGTGTTGTTAAGTGCCGTTGAGTCAGTTCTGAGTCATAGCGACCCTGCACAGCATTTCTGAGGAGCAGCTGGTGGGTTTGAACTGCCAACGTGGTTCACAGTCCAGTGGTGATCCTACAGCGCCACACCAGGAGTCCACGAACCAGGGCAAATACAGCCTTCCCTTTCGTACCTCTGTCCCTTCAGTAGAGATAATAAGAGTAAAAAAGACAGATATCTGTATTGTGGCTACATATCTGAAACAAGGGTGCAATAAAGATAGAATTTGTTCTTTATCTTGAAAGTGAATGAAAGCACAGTGAGTGTTCTTTGCAGCAGTGAGGCCTCTGCCCCTCTGTAGATAATCTGGGGTTGATGTTTTAACACTGTTCTTGTTTTCCCTTCACTCCACTGGATGTACATTCTTGCCTCACATTGTAATATTGGCAAAATACCTTGAAGTTCAATTCAGTAAATATTTATTACCCTTGAAGGCCAATTCAGTAAATATTTATTGAGTTGAGCCATTCACAATGCTAATTACTAGAGATACAAAGCTGAATTCTACAGACCCTGCCCTTACAGAGACGGAGAGCGAAGTCCTGTCAGCCACCACCTGTCTGTCGGTTTGTTCTAGTGTGGTAGCTCGCATATTGCTGGGATGCTGGAAGTTTTGCCACTGCTGTTTTAAATGTCAGCAGGGTCACCCAGTGGTGGTGAGGTTTCAGCGCAGCTTCCATATTGTTATAGAAGGAAAGGTTTGGCAATCTACTTCTGAAAATTAGCCAATGAAAACCTACATGGATCACAAGGCTTGTCTGATAGAGTGCTGAAGATGAGCCCTCTGGGCTGGAAGGCACTACACAACAGACTCAACCTTACCAACAACCAGGAAGATAGTGCAGGACTGGGCAGGAGTCCTGGTTAAGCACTGGATTGCTACCTGCAAGGCTAGCAGTTCACATCCACCAGCCACCCCTTGGAAATTCTAGACAGGGTCACTATGAATTGGAACCAACTAGAATGCACTCGACAACATACATAAAATTGCCATAAATCAGCTTTTAAAGTTTTTACTTTGCTATTACTAACAACAGTGGTGAGATGCTGTAGGATATAGCACTGAACTGCAAGGTTGGTTTGAACCACAAGGTAGGCCATTCAAACTCACCAGCTGTTTCTTAGAAACTCTAGACAAGGTCTCTATGAATCAGAACCAACTTGACGGCACTTAACAACAACAATAACAAGTATTGCAGGGAAGATATACAATTTAACATTTAGTACCACATATGTGCAACCACAGAAGTATGAGCAAGGTGCATAGTAGGACAAAGGAGGGAAGGACTGCAGTGGTCTCAGATCACTTTGGAAAAAGTTTGAAAATAAGTGAAAGTAAATAACTATGATAGGAGCAGAGTTTTCAGAGATGAATGTTGTACAACAAACTAAATGCGTGTTTGTACTGCTTCTATTTCCCAAATACAGGTATATGTTTGAACTAAAGGAAGATGATGATGCCTGTAAGAAAGCCCAGGGTACAGGAGCATTCTACCTCTTTCATAGCCTGGCCCCTTTGCTTCAGAAACCAGAGCATCAGCATCAGTACCTGGCCCCCCGGCACAGTCTGTTAGGTAAGCCCACAGTGGACCAGAAGAATCAACTTGTCTGTTGTCATTAATCACAATTCAGTCCGGATTGAATTTCTTAAAAAGACCCTTGGACTTTAGAGTCCAGATTTTTCAAACAGCTTCTGAGTCTCAAGCTTGTCTAACTGCTTCTGGCAATTTAGTATATGAACCTGAGTTGCCCAGTTAAATATTGTTTTGTGATTATATTATTCACTAATGACTAAGACCTGGTGTGGTGCTGCGGGTTAATGCGCTAGACTGCAAAGTTGGTTTGCACTGCAAAGTCGGCAGTTCAGGCTCACCCATTGTTCGTCTGAAACCCATGTAGGGTCACTGTGAGGTAAAACTTGACTCAACAGCACTTAACAACAACAATGACTTAGACCAGGAATCAGCAAAACTGTAGGACAAATCAGGCCCACTGGCTATTTTTGTAACTAAACTTTTATTGGATAAAAGCCATACTTACTCGTTTGCTTATTCTCTATGGTGCCCTGGTTAAGCACAGGGTTGCTAATTACAAGGCTCTACTCCTGTAAAGATTCACTCTTGGAAATCCTATACAGGGTCTCACTATTGTAGTGGGTTATGGCTGCTTTTACAACACAATGACAGACTTCAGTTGTTGTTGTTGTTAAGTGCCGTCGAGTCGGTTCCGACCCATAGTGACCCTGTACAGGGTTTCTGAGGGTGTAAATCTTTATGGGAGTAGAAAGCCTCATCTTTCTCCCACGGAGCAGCTGGTAGTTTTGAACCACTGACCTTAAGGTTCGCAGCCCGATTCGTAACCACTACGTAGTTGCAACAAAGACTGGATGGCCCGTTGTTGTTAGGTGTCATTGAGTTGGCACTGACTCATAGTGACACAATGCACAGCAGACTGAAACACTGCCCTATCCTAGGCCAACCTCACTACTGTTGCCACGCTTGAGTCCATCGATGCTGCCACTTGGCCAATCCATCTCGTTGGGGGCCTTCCTCTTTTTCTCTGACCCTCCACCTTACCAAACATGATATCCCTCCCCAGTGACTGGTCCCTCCTGACAATATGTCCAAAGTATGAGAGACGAAGTTTGGCCATCCTGCCCTCCAAGGAGCACTCTGGCTGCACTTATCCCAAAACAGATCTATTGGTTCTTTTGGCAGCGCATGGCACTTTCAATATTCTCCTCTAACACCATAACTCAAAAGCATCAATTCTTCTATGGGCTTCCTTATTCACTGTGCAGCTTTCACATGCATATGAGGTTATTGACAATACCTTGGCTTGGGTCAGGCACACCTTAGCCCTCAAGCTGATATCTTTGCTCTTTAACACTTTAAAAAGGTCTTGTACAGCAGATTTGCCTAATGCAATACATCCTTTGATTTCTTGACTGCTGCTTCCATAAGTGTTGATAGTTGATCCTAGAAGAATGAAGTCCTTGACAACTTCAATCTTTTCTATGTTGATAAGAATGTTGTTTATTGGTCCAGTGGTGAAGATTTTTGTTTTCTTTACATTGAGATGTAATCCATACTGAAGGCTGTGCTCTTTGATCTTCACCAGTAAATGTTTTAAGTCCTCTTCACTTTCAGCAAGCATAGAGCTTAAGATATTTACTGTCAATTTCCACAAAAAGCTGACCAACCCCTGCCTGAGACTAATGATTTCCTGCATCCATTGAGTTAAGTGCCCTCGAGTCAGTTCCAACTCTTACCGACCCTGTTCAAGCTGGTGAGTTTGAACCACCGACCTTGTACTTCAAACCGACCTTGAAGTCGAGTGCTTATCCTAAGGCGCCACACCAGGACTCCATCCATGTTCAAGATTTGCATCATGATTTCATTTTCCCTTTAAGGGTTAAAATTACTTTCTTTTCCTAGGAGGGTAAAAGTGAATTCAAATTAATTTGTTTTGAAAGCTCTTTTTAACTTCAAATACATTACCAGTGAATTTCCCCTGGTCAGATGATGGAGTATTTGGACAGGTAGCTCCTAGCAGTACAGAAGAACATGTAGATTCCATCAGAAGGCACTAAACATTATTTTGAGATTTAGCAATGTTACATTGTATTATTGAACAAATAAATACAAGGGGGCTGCAAAATGTTCATGGGAAAATTCCATTATCTTTTAATTCACTTTTTCCATGAACTTTTTGAAGCCCCCTCATGTAAGTCCCTCCTGCATAGAAAGACACAGGCTTTCTCCCTGTGCAAACTGGGATCTTAGATGAGTATTCTATTCAGGGCCACAAAAGCCAAATTATCTGAAGGCTAAATTATGGAACTGAATTGATCTCTATCGTTTTAAATGTGACAGGTTTCTATTTATCTTTTTTTTTTTTTCTTTTCAATGTTTTAATCATGTATCTATTGCCTGTCTTACAAATTAGGACATGTTTCCTTAATGGTCCTATCCAGTATTACACCTGTAGAGAATTCTTTCTTTGATCTAAATTCTTATTGATGAGGAAACTGAAACTTAGAGAAGTGAAGTGAGATCAGATTAAGGTCATACAATTAACCAGGGGTGGGCAGTGACTAAAACTAGACGTGTAGACTGCAGACTGAAGGAGATGTCTTCCTATAGGGTTAATATTGCGATGGTGATAGAATTAAGAAGTTCCTGGGTGGTACAGATGGTGACTGTGCTTCATTGCTAACCAAAAGTCAGATGTTCACATCCACCCAGCAGCACACTGGGAAAAAGGCTTGAAGATTCTAATTCCAAAAACTCAGACATTGACAACTCCGTGGAGCACAGTTCTACTCTTTTGTACATGGGGATGCCATGAGTCAAATTTGACACAATAGCAACTGGCTTGGTTTCTGGATTTTGGTTTAATTCAAACCCCTGTGTTTTTCTTTTTCTCCCTTTTCCTTTTCACTTTCTTAGAGTTGGAAAGGCTCCTGGAGAAATTTGGACACGACACACAAAAAATAGAAGACTCTGTACTGATTGGCTGCTCTGAACAACATGAAGCATGGTTTGCACTGGATCTAGGTCTGAATAGTCCCTCTTCCACAAACGGTACTTACTGTTATTCCTAACTGGTCTTCCCAGTGATTTTCAGACTTTGGAATTCCACATAGTGACAAAATTTCAAGGAAATTTTTGGGAAAACAAAAATGTTATCCACTTTCTATTTTTTTTTAAGTAAGGTCAGTAAAAAATTATTGCCACCTCTTATGGAGTCTGGAGTCCTGGTGTGGCACTGTGGGTTACTGCGCTGGACTGCAAAGCTGTTTGAACTTCAAGGTTGGCAGTTCAAGCTCACCAGCTGCTCATCGGAAACCCTATACAGGGTCGCTAAGGGTCAGAACCGACTCCACAGCACTTAACAACAACAACAGTTATGGAGTCGTGGTGTAGTGCTGTGGGATAAAGCACTAGATCGCAAGGTCGGTTTGTACCAAAAGGTCGGCGGTTCAAACTCAACAGCCGCTCCTTGGAAACCCTATACAGCGTTGGTATTAGTCAAAACCAATACTATGGTACTTAACAACATTATGATCGTTGGAGTCCTGTTGGATGAGCACAAGACCACAAGGTTGGCTTGAACCACAAGGTCAGTGGTTCAAACTCACCAGCCACTCTTCAGAACCCTATATACTGGGTGGCTATGAGTAAGAACCAACCTGAAGATACTTAACAACATCATCATCATTTTAAATAAAAGAAAGGTCATTTTAACGGTGTCTTAATGTGGTTGAAATCGACTTAATGACACTTAACAATAACAATATTAGGATCATTAGGAGTCCTGATGGTTTGCTCTAGGATAAACACTGAACTGTTAACCACAGGGTTGATGGTTCAAACCCACCAGCCACTCCTCGGAACCCTATATACTGGGTCACTGTGATTCAGAACCAACTCGATGGTACTTAACAACCTCCACATCCCTTTATATGGAGTCCTGGTGTGGCGCTATAGGATAAGCACTGGACAGCTAACCACAAGGTTGGTGGCTCAAACCCACCAGCAGCTCCTTGGAAACCCAATACAGAGTCGCAATGTTTCAGAACCAACTCAGCAGTACTTTTAACAACCACCACCACAACGCTTTATATGGAGTCCTGCTGTGGTGCTCTGGGATATGCACTGGACTGCTAACCATAGGGCAGACAGTTCAAACCCACAAGCCACTTGTCAGAAACCCTATACGGGGTCTCTATGATTCAGAACCAACTAGACGGTACGTAACACCAAATACACCCTTCATATGGAGTCCTAGTGTGGCACTGTAGGATCACCACTGGTCAGCTAACCACAAGGTCAGTGGCTCAAATCCACCAGCCATTGCTTGGAAAACCAATACAGTGCGGCTGTAAGTCGGAACCGACTCGGCGGCACTTTACAACAACATCCCTTTATAGGAGGCCAGGGGTTGGTCAGTGGTGGACTCCTCACCTCCTGTGTGAGTCCCAGCCAGTGCACCACCTCAAGCACAGTGGAGGCTTGCCTGTTGCTCTGATGCTGAACAGGTTTCAGCCAAGTTTCCACACCACCACCAAACTTGGAAGAAAAGCCTGGTAATCTTTAAGAAATCAGCCAGTGAAAACCTTCCCGATCAGAAGGATCCAATCGTGTTGTGCTCGGGGTTGCTGTCTAGTTAACTCGTGCTGCTATAGCAGAGATACCACAAAGGGGTGACTTTAACAAACAGGAATTAACTTTCTCACAGTTTAGGAGGCATTCAGGGTGCAGGCTCTAGAGGAAAGTCTTTCTCTCTGCTGGCTCTGGGGGACAGTCCTTGTTCTTCGGTTCCCTGGTGATCCTTATGTGGCATGGCATCTGTCTTCCCATCTCAGCTTGTTTCCCACGTCAAATCTGTTTTTATATTGGCTTAAAACACACCCTGTCCTGATACATATGGCAACTTAATAAAGAAAACCCATTCCCAGAAGAGATTGTAACCTCAGATAGGGGTTAGGATTTTCAACACATTTTTGGGGTACACAATTCAATCCATAACCATTACCATGAGTTGGGGCCAACCCCATTAAATACAAACACACCTTTATACAATTTGTCTTAAATGAGACACTCCAGTGACCCAGTGGTTAAGCCTATGGCTGCTAATCCAAAGGTGGGGGCAGTCTGATCCCACCAGTGGCTTTGTGGGAGAAAGATGTAGCTGGTTGCTTCTGTAAAGATCACAGCTCTGGAAATCTTTTAGGCAGTTCTGCATTCAGTAGGGTTGCCATGAGTCGGACTTGATGGCAAGAGCCTGGTAAGGATTTGAGTACCTGTATATATTCCACTTTCCCTATTTGAGTCATATTAGGTAAGTTTGGGAAACACTCTTCTAACAGGATAGACTGACACTTGTTTTATTTTCTTCTCTTTTCTAATCTTCTAGCTTCCTTACAGAAATCTGAAATGGAGAAAGAGCTCAAGGGGTCTTTCATTGAGCTGAGGAAGGCCCTATTTCAGCTGAATGTGAAGGATGCCTCTCTGCTGTATACGGTAGAATCTCATTCCTCAATTCTGTAAAAGATTTAGTAAAGCAGTGTATATGGGCTAAGACATACACACACAAGGGAAAATGACATCTGAGTTCTGACTCTGCAGATCAACCTGGGCAAAAAGACAGTGCTCCAGGGCTCCTGCTCATGCTCCCTGTTTCTCTCTTTGTAGAAGAAAGGCAGGCAGACAGATGGCTTCCGCAGAGCCTGTCAAGAACATTAGCTCCTAAGGACAGGCCAATCTATGAAAATAGGCCATCTCAGCCTCACAGTACACGGCTTTTATGACTCATGGCATAGGTACACCATTGTGTTTTTACTATGAGAAGTTACTTTACACTGTTTTAACAGCATTTCCTCACAACGTCTTTCATTTGCTAAAGTGCTTTTGATGATCCATTTAATGAAAAAAAGATAGTCTTCACAAAATTGTAAATAAATTAATGTTTCTATAAGGTACCCTTAAAAATGGTTTAAATGGATTGGAACAAACAAGATGG